ATAAGGTACTGTTTATCTTAGGCCTTTATATCTATTGCTCGAAGGAAGTTAGTCTGAGTCTAACTAAAATATTGATAATAATTAATACAAAAGGAAACTGTGAACATTTTTAATCTAAAAATAATAATCCGTACCCATTTAATGCTGCTCCATTAATAATAATTCTTTGCGTCTACCTGACACGCTTTAAAACCTACGCAACCACGATACCGTTTCGTTTTAATATATAAGAAAAGGGAGCATTAATTTTCGAACCTTAACTTACCTAGTTAAAGTAAACTAAAAAAAACCAAGAGACGTGCCCTGTGGCGTTGTGCCCGTGAGACGGAGAATATTTTAACTTAGACATCTAAACTTATTCGTTGGCAAAAGTAGCTGCCAGCTCTCTGGTCACCGGAGAGTTCAACGTGGCGAACCTAAATCTCTGTATCTATAGAATTACAGTACTATGGAAGATGTTCTTACACAAGACTTTTACGTGTCAAGACAAATAATTTTTATCATCTATTATATTAGATAACATCTCTATCTCTCTCTGATCCCAAAGTAAGTAATTAAAGCACTCGTGTTATGGAAATTGGAAACAAGGACAGTACGGAACAGCCAGACCTGAGACAATATAGAAAAAGTTAGTTTTCTATGTTCACCCGGACGGGAACCAAACCCGGGACCACGCCAATCGAAAGCCAATCGACCACGGAGGTGGTCAAAGTTATATAAAATACAAATGATTACTGTTTCGGTGTACAGTGTTTTTTTTTTAAATAGCACTGTTTGGGGAAATCTGAAACCATAGAAGATATAAGGAAACCGTCTTAGGAACTATTGAATCTTTTTTGTGAACACAATTTTGGCATAGTCAATTTTTTTGGTCAAGCGTGAGTTGTTCTTAAAAATGATTATTTTTTATCAATTTTTTTTCTTATGCCGACTCTTTTTCGTTAACGGATCATTTCATTGTATGGGACGAAATAAATCGGAAGCAGAAGAGAACACCAGAAGGTGGTCAATGTAGTAAAAAAAAAATTCAAACCATTTGGAAAATGAATAACATTTTATTAAATTTGACCAACTTCTACTTTCAACATCAACCCTTCATGACATGAAACCGAGACCTCGACTGCATGTAGTCGGTTTAATAATGCGTGAAGTCGCAACTTCATGCAGTCGAGGTCTCGGCTGCATGAAGTTGATTACGACTTCACGCATAAACTGCAAACGTATAGTCAATCTGTTAGCTTCCTTTGTGCATGATCTAAAGGTTTTTCTGACATGTTAAATGCGATTCCGCGTTCATAAGTGTGGTAATTCCTGAAAGCTCCGTAACGGAATGGAAGCGGTTTTTGTGACGAATTTGTACATAGCATAATGGACTTTTTGTCTATTATGTAACGTACAAACTAGGCACAACACGATCGCGAGACTATGCGAGAATTCCTCATAAGACGCGCGCCCTGTTTTTGGTTCGTATCTTTGTTGTTACATAATTGACATTTCAAATCATTGTGCTATAGTTTAATTATAATATAATAAATTCAGCCACATTTGACGACCAAAACATGTTGCAAAATGTGGCTGTTGGTGTAACAAACAAGTGCACGTGTATGTTTGTGTGGATGATCCCAAAAACACCACGAGATTACGACTAGTTCGTAATATTGCGTAGTAATTATAATTATATAATTAAATGGGCAGTTTTCATGAAATTTCGAAATTTGTGCTTCCGATATTTACGAAAATTTTTAGGAAAAAATGTATTTATTTTTTGTCAATTTCATAGTACTTATGTAATTACATAGGTTTTGATGATATAGCGATCCCCAAAAGAAATGATTTTTAAGAAAATGTATAGGTCAGTCAGAGCATTTGAAGGTGAGGGAATGACGGTAAGGGAATGACGAATCAAAATGAACCAAGAAAAAATAGCGATATAAACTTACTTTTAGACTTAAGTGTAAGCTTACTGTTACGAATAACTCGTGTGAGTGAATGATTAATAAATAAAATCAAATGCCTGGCTTCTTTTTACATGATGTGAGGGAATGACTGCCAAAAACTAATATCATTGGTCAAAAATGTAACTTTTACAATTTTAAATTAAATCTTTTGGTAGAAGAAACTTTTTAAACACACAAGTTGAATTTATTCATTTTGAAACGTTTAAAGTGCTGCTAACTTTTATAAATTTACAAAATGTATTTACCAAAGATTAAAAATGCATTCACAAATCGAGTGAAAGTAAACGCGTAAGGGTATTGGTTGGGACATGAATGATAATACATTTTGTAAATTTATTTATTGTGTTTTAGCACAGGATAGCTTTAATGTCGCAAAAACATATTTTATTTGATAGAATTTTTAAAATTTAAAGGTTGTTTTTGTTAAATGTGTTGGTTTAAAGCACATAACGTGTTTGGTTATGGAACTTGGGCCATAGTGAGGGAATGATTTTGGGGACATTTTTATATTATTATAAATTTTTATTTAAATACACTAATCAATATTTTATGCATGCATTAATAGCAATTGATTATAATTAGATATTAAATATTAATTTTACGGCAAGAATTAAAATACGAATTAAGATTTTGCAAGAATTACTCAAATACGTATTTATAAAGCGTTTGAAACAAGGCCTTGTGTTTACGCCCCAGAGCGCCTACAGTTTTCACCATAGCAACGTCGTGAATGCGAGCAATTGTTACTAAATTATTACTTTTTATATTTTGTATTGTTGGTATACTTACTTACAATAATTTACTCCTATCTTGATCAGCCACGTACGTGACACACGTTCTGTATTATTTCTGTAAAGTTCTGTAAGGTTTTGATGTTACTAGAAACCACATGCTTATATAACTTCTTATTCGAAAACAATCAACAACCATTATGTAATTTATGTTAAATTGCTGCTTAAAAATTATAGGCGCTATCATGCACATCTCAAATCTTGAACACTGGGACAGAATTACATAGATAAAATTCAAAGAAAAACCGATAGGGTGTGGTGTTGTAAAGAAAAAAATATAGTGATTTATCGATAAGTACCCCGTCTTTGTTCACGCTGTTCAATAAAAGGTCTCTACGTAATTTATGCTCTTGCGATGTAAATTTGGGCGCTGTTTTTTGATATAAAATGGTTAGTCTGATTACGTTGATTTAGTATTATTATTCATCGAAAAAACACAAAGAAAAATTCCTTCGATCCTACTGGAATCGAACCAGCGCGTGTCGCCTCGACGTAGCTTCTTTGCGTG